AATAAGTGTATCGCTATATGAATTTTTAAAATCACGTTTTATATCATAAAAATATACGTGCAATTATAATATATCTATTTGCCAAATAGAAATGTTTTAGCTAAATTTTAATTGAGAATAAAAGATCTTTTTTATATCATTGGTTACAAACAACAAAATCTATGTATAAGCGTATCGATAAGCCGAGAATAAGTTTTGTTTTATGCGTTATGTTCATAAGTAGAACTTCGTATATTTCACGTTTCTCTATGCGAGAATTCATGTTATTGCGAGAGGAGTATCTCTCAAGACGCCACGATGTGAGAAAATATGAAAATATTACCGCGTTGCTGTCACTTTTAGATTTTTATCACCGACTTCAATCCGGCGGAAAAGTCTTGTCTTCGGATATGCACAGCTGTCATAATTCACCGCAATTACGATGTTCATGAAGCGAGCCTTGAACCGATTTACCGATTCATACTACGTAGGAAACTCTTTAATCTCTTTGATTTTATTGTAACGAGGATTTTATTATTTTCGTGGCGCACATGATGCGCTGTGAACAAGAAACAACTGTCTTCGGATATGCACAGCTGTCATAATTCACCGCAATTACGATGTTCATGAAGCGAGCCTTGAACCGATTTACCGATTCATACTACGTAGGAAACTCTTTAATCTCTTTGATTTTATTGTAACGAGGATTTTATTATTTTCGTGGCGCACATGATGCGCTGTGAACAAGAAACAACTGCTTCCATGGCTAACTAAATTATGTATCTTCTTTATGAGCACTGCATGAAGCGTACATCAACATTCTCACTTGATTATACAGGTGCTATACAAACGAATATACTAATTGGCAGTTTTTGAATTTGCAATTAAATTCAATTTTAAGCTTGCATTTAGTTAGGCATGCATCTGATATGTCTAAGAGAAATTACCGTGATTTCTTATTTGCTACTTTACACTTTTTAATCAGAACGTTTAAAAATTACCTTCACGCGCAATGGTCTTACGTTTGTGCTTAATGAATTGTTAACACTGGAGATTTCTGCTTTCTTTAGATTTTATTTACAATTGAAATATTGAAATATTGAAATAATAAATACAGTTGCCGCAAAAAATAAAAAAGGGCTGGCGTCGTACATGATGAAGAGTGCAATCGAGGATCAAAATATCTTTACAGTCAAAGAAGCCGAAAACGCTTAATCCATCGGACATAAACTTCCAAACATTATGTTGCCAAACAGCTTAACGTTGGAAAGGGTTTAACGTTTCCGCAGAGCATATTTTAAGGAATCTTCATATGGATAACGAAATGTGAGATTTTATTCACCCACGTATCTTTACCGTAAATTTGTTCACTTACGTATAAATTATATATACTATACATGGTCAATCGTTATATCAATCTATTACTTGATTTTTATCGTTGTATTGAATAGCATTGAAATCGCTGGTGATACCATAAATAATTTCCGTTCTTTATCATGCCTTTGTTTATCTTTTTGTTATAAAATGGATTTGAAAATATGACAAAACAAAAAGCTAAAATTGTTTAATCATACATTATGATAAATGCGTTTCGCGTCTTTATTATTTTTGTGTCAAAATCCCGTTACCTCGGTCTAATAATTTTAATAATTTGATAAATAATGTAACAAGCCGAGTAACAAGTTTCAAAAAACAAATCAGAGAGGGCATTACTCGATTGATTAAATCTTAGAGGTTTAATAATCCTGGCAGAAGTGATATTTTTCGCAATAAAAGATTTTCCAAAGAAGAAGGGAAAAGGGTAAAACATAATCGATTTTTATAAATTTGATAATTTTTATAAATTTTTATAAATTTTTTTTTTCGCCGATTTATTAAAGACTTTAACTTTAAGCTGCCGCGTTTTCAAGTTTAAAAATAACGGTGCATGATTTGCGATATAAAGTGATTGTTTTGAATTTATTATATATTATTTATATAAATAATATATATTATATATTTATTTATTTATTTATATTTTGAATTTATATAAATTCAGTAATAAAAAGATTAGACTTCTAAGATCTAATCTACCGAGTAATACCCTCTTTAATTTGTTTTTTAATAATTTAGGCTCAGTTCGATCGTCTTCCGATCGTTACCTGGCCAACATTGGAAACTACAAGATGCATTTTTGCCATACCTTCGCTGGAGAAATTCGAAATCCTATGACGAAGTAAGATCACATGCTTTTGTGATCCGTATCTTTATTCAGGAGCTGTCGCCCCCTGATCTGCACGCAAGTGAAATGTATAAGCGCATGCAGTGGTTGGTTCTCGCAGAGGGGCACCACGGGCATTCCCGACTCCAAGACAGACTATCTCGCTCGCAGGTGTAAGCCTGCGGACACGTTCGCAGCCTCGTGCGGGGGCGTGTATATCCCTGACATTGTAAAACTCGACGTTACATTTGTGTAGCCAATTGGATAGGCCGACTCCCTCTAGGACGGCCCAGATTCTTCAGCAGCTTCGTCTTCTCTTCTTCTCGCCGATCTTTCTTTCTTTTCCATTCTCTCTTTTTTTCGTTCCCTCGTAGCTTCTTCTTGCATTCTTCTCGATATCGTTCAATTATCATCTTGAAAAATCTATGTCTTTCATCCTGCTACTGCGTTTTTTTTTTTTCAGTTGCGTTCGTTTCTGAGATCCACCAACGGGCGGAGAATAAAGAGAGGAAAGAATAGTTTTGCTGAAAAATAATTTTGATAGATCATCAAAATAATTATATAAGATATTCAAATTAGTTATTGCAATATAAAAATGTTTCAATATTTTCATATTTAAATATCTTACGTAACATCTTAATGGTCTAATAAAATGAATTTTCAGATCTGTATCTGGCCAAATTTTTAAATCTTACAATAAAATTGTTCTTTCATATACGAAGTACGTATATGAAAGATGTTGCGCGCCACATTCGGAATTTTTGCTGCTGATTTCGATAACATCGATGAACGTGTTCGAATTAAGTTTTTATGACAGGCATGACTGGTCAATCAGTATCTTTCCTTACTCGAGTTTTCACGGAAAACGTATAATGTCATGCAGTCTCTCAAAATACATTTTTAAATCGCTATATAATAAGAACAATTTTAAAATATTAAAAAAAATATTAAAATATTTAAAATATTTAAAATATTTAACAATTCAGATTAAATATTTAATATTGATATAATAATTATATAGAATAGTTAAATGGATTGCTGAAATAAAAATTTATGTAGTATTATTTATGTAGTATTGTGTAGTATTATCATTTTTAAATGTCTTACATAATAATTTAAATAGCCTAACGAAATTATTTTCAGATGATCTGTATCTAGTAGACATTTTAAAAAGATTTTTTATCATGTTTTTATCATGTATGAATCACGCTATGTTAACAACAAATTTTTAATGCCTTTATATTGACACACAAATATTATTTTGCTTATGACATTATCGGAAAGTATGAAATCTTCTTTTTCAAAAAGAAAAAAAAGTGATAAATTAATTTTCTCTAAGTTTATTTGTACGATAGACAGAACACGTCGATAATTTGCATTAACGACACGCGTTAGATTTAAAGTGCATCAAGTGGTCAAGCAGATTGACGTACATTTATCGTCGCGATGGCGAGGCGGCCGTTAATTAAAAGTGCCGCCACGTGTTTATCACCTTTACGAGCACGCACGGCTCGGCTTCCGCTAATTCAAATTGCCCTCGAACGACGCGGAGAGCGAAATGTTCGCTTCCATCTAATTATAAAGCAGCCGTATTGCACTCGTATCTCACTTACGCTTAAAGGATGGGGAATTCCGCGCGCGGCGGACGAGGTACGCGGGACGAAACGCGGCGCAGAAATCTAGAGATCCGGCCTCAATACGTCTTGTTGACTCACTTAGCGCAACACAGCAAGTTCACTAACCGTGTAGATCGTCACCTCCTGACAGAAACTATTTAAAGTGCGATGCGCGCCGTGCTCTCTGCTTCTCCCCGCCGCTTCTCCTCACTCGGCCGCGCCGGAGGCTGATATAAGATGCAACAGCTGTGATCGGATCGTACGTCGTGCGAACCGGCCGATAATCACACGGGTACCAAATACATTCGCGACTGTTATACTGTCTTACTACGAGTTGGATATAACGAAAGCGAAGGGGCGATCTTTCGCTACTACGAAATCATTATTCGCAACATGTTATCCTAATCGATAGATGCTCCAAAAGTCACGCGGATCTCTAATGATACGTTTCTGGAACTTGGAAAATGCATTAGTAAAATTGTTGATATTATTTAAAGCGTATTATGGCAGAAGGCATAATACACTGAAAAAAATAATCTTGCAGTTATAGTGAAAGTTATCTAAATACGAAAAATTAACTAAAATGGATAAATGACTAGTAAGCAATGCGCATATGTTTTCTATTTAATTAATACGACAGAGACAAAATTTGTCGAAACGATTTTTTAAATCTAGCAAGAAAGTCTTTCTGTGATATTCAGTCAGATAATAGCCAGTTACTTTTTATAAAAATGTTTGATTTGGTTGGATATGAACCTAAATTTCCTTTATATATTGTTAGAATGTTGCTGCTATAAATTCTACGTACGACATAATTTTCTAGCAGATACAAAAAACAGCGATACATTTTAACTGTAATTTAAATTCTAGTTGGATCATAGTTGGAACATTTAAAATTCTAGTTGGATCAGCGAAACATTTTTTTTGAATGATAGGTAATAGAGATATATAAGAATTGAACTTTCAATTGTGTTTCTTGATATTTTACTCATAAGATTCGCTAATTCGCTTATTCAGGAAGTTCATTTATAAAATTATAAAAAATTATTATAAAAAATGAATATTTAACAACCTGTTTTTTTATTCTTTCTTTGTGTTTTTCACTCGTGGTGTATGACATTCATTAGTAAATGATGAAAACTATATCCGAGAAATATGTTTCATATGTGACTTCTGCAGTAATATATGTTATGTATGTATTACAGACATGCTCTTCGACAGCACATGCTGCGACACGCTGGTAAGAAGTACAAGTGCGGCCTTCCGGGTTGTCCCACGATTCTTCGTACCGCATCTGAGCTGAAGACTCATCGAAGATTAGTCCACGACGACATCGAGAAACAGTATTCCTGTCCCGATTGCTCTTATGCCGCTAAGACAAAAACACAATTGCGCAGGTAATTATAATTTATTGGAATTACCATTCATTGCTTTCACTGCAGTTTAATATATGTAAATTGTAACAGATAGATTACATTATATTCTTATACCTAATTAATATATATATATATATAAATATATATATATAAGTACATATTTAGATAGCGCGAAAAACGCGTTTCATAAATTATTAATGGTCAAATCTGAAAATTTTAAATCTTATAAATTTACACGAAATGAGCAATTTTATGAAGAATCTAAAAATTTGTTACAGGAATACAGATTTGAAAATAATTTTATCGATCAAAATATTTATATGCGCGTACAAATTGATTGCTATCAAAAACTTTTGCAGTATAATAGCATCGTATTTAAGCATTTTGCACAAATTTTGATAATCCACCAAATTATTTTAAGATCTACGTCTAACCAAATTGTTATATACTTTAGCAAACTCATTCTTTCCAAATATCAATTTTGTAGTAGAAATGTTAAATGCACCCATACGAACAATCCCATCACTGCGCAATATTAACGGCGTAATAATATCTATTTTTTATTGAAACATTACGAAATCTCGATATACTTGAAGTCGTTAATAATCTTAGCCGAAACGCAGAGTTAGATGACGCGGGTAGTGAGATGCGAGGTCTTTTTAACAATTCAGTTCGCGTGCGATCCACACGGCTCCGTCTCGCTGTGGCACGACTTCTCGGACTGCCGATATTATTGACATTAATTTTAATTGAGGTCTCCGTCGGGAACGACGCATTCCTGTGCCATTAATCGCGCGGCTCACGGCTCGCGTATGTATGATCGATGCCTTCGAGGAAGCGGAGAATTAATTGTGAGGACGCAAGTACTCGCGTTTGCGCGCCGCCTCGCATACATAATTGCGAGGACACGGACAGTAGAAAGAATCAATCTTCGCGGATTATTGATAGAGACAATGGGGAGGATATAATTTGAAGAGTAATTTATCGAAAATCCGATTGCATCTCGGTGCGCGCGGCGCATGGCCTCGATACGCGGCAATTTTCGTACTGCCTTTTATCTCAACCTTCTAGATTTATTCTCTGGTTATTTTAAGATCCGTACTCGCACGACGGGATCTGTATCTGAATTAATTCGCGGCTCAATGATTCATTCAGACACCAAGTATTTTGATCCTATTCAGCTTCACCGTGCCTGACATGCTACGTACATGCAGCAATTTTTAAAGAAGTAAAATACAGAATAATTAAACGGAATAACTGAAACAAATATGAATGTGTTATAATTTTAGCGTTCTTTATATTTATCTTCAATTGCTCACCTAATCTCGTTAAATCAATTCGATGCAGGCGACAGCGCATGATCGATAATATGACAAGTATATAATCGATTCACTCTTCAGTTTTTAAGTTATTCTGATATCCTTTTATCGAAAATATAAAATGTGAATATAGTGATCACATGATTATCGCATGAGTAATTTATTCACTATAAAATAAAAGAGTCCCGTAAATCAATTCGCCAATTGAAAGTTAAATAATAATAATCACTTTCTCATATTCGTTAGAATCCGGACAAGTTTTACTTTAACGATCAAAAAATCTTTTTTTCAACTTGATCATGCAACGATCGCGCAATCGATCCTCTCTTAGCAACGAATGTGCTTGAAATCAAGAAAAAAAAAGATAGAAAAAAATTGTATTTAAATTAAGCCTTATTAAGACCATTGTGACGCAGGAAGCATCCCTAATAAATTTCTCTTCGTTTGACGCCACGCTTTTTCCCCGCTCCACGAGACAGTTCTTGAGAAGTAAAGAAGTACGAATATCGCGGGTTGGGAGGAGAGGCCGAGAGAAACGAACGAGAGGGGGATCGGACGGCAACGGCGAGAGAAAGATCGAGATAGAGGACCATGAAAGCGGAAGTTGCGTGCGGCAGCCGGTTAAGTGCGGGCAACCCGTTATGATCGTCCGCGCATGGCCGATGGTCGCCGCGATATTTCATCGCGAATTGAGTACTTACTACGTGAGTCGAACTCAACGCAGCCGCAGAGTGTGTCGCTCGGACTCTCCTCCATCGACGCTCCTCTTTCGCGTACGTCCTCTCATATCGGCCTCTCTCGTTTATTCCTCGCTTTCTCTCTTTCCCTCTCTCTCTCTC